CCAAGTCTTTTTAGGTCTACCCCTACCTTTCTTAACACAAGTCAAATCTAATACCTCTACTCTCCTAACCGGGTCATCGAAAGGCTGCCTTTTTATGTGTCCAAACCATCTAAGGCGACTCTCTCTAATCTTATATTCTATTGATCTACTCCAACCTTTTCACGTATATGCTCATTTCGTATCCTATCTCTAAGGGTAAAGCCACTCATTCACCTGAGCATCCTCATCTCTGCCACACTTAACTTAGTATTATGCTTCTCTTTTAATGGCCAACATTCGACACCATAAAGCATTGCAGGCCTCACTAACATCTTATAGAATTTTCCCTTAAGTTTGAGGGGTAAATTTCTATCACATAACAAGCCTGATGCATTCCTCCACTTCAACCATCCAACTTGAATTCTGCTGATAATATCCCCATCTATTTCACCATCACTCTGAACAATAGATCCAAGATATCTAAAATTGTACTCTTATTAATGACTTGATCACCCAAAGTCACAATCCTCTCACTAGGTCTATTACTACTAAAATTACACTCCATATATTCCATTTTAGATCTACTCAAGCGAAAACCTTTAAGACTCTAAGGTTGACCTCCATAATTCAAGTTTACCTTCAACTCCCTCTCTAGTCTTATATGCAAGAAGAATATCATCAGCAAAAAGCATACACCAAGGTACATCCACTTGCAAATGTCTAGTGAGAACATCCATGACTAAAGCAAAAAAGATATGGGTTTAAGGCTGATCCTTTAGTTAACCCAACCGAAATAGGGAAATACTTGGTCAAACCACCTTGTGTTTGACACAAAGTAATAGCTATTTCCCACTCATAACGTGGATTACTCAACACTTGCGAGCTGTGTGAGAGTAGAGAATCCACGTAATCTTCATGAGAATACCGACTCAGATTCCTACAGACACCTACGTGCAATCTCACTCACAGAGAGAGAGAGAGACAGATTACTCTCATAACACAATCTCTATTATGCTGGTAGCGAGCTCACATCAACGACCTCAGTATTACATCACTCTGCATATTACAGTGTCATTCCTGACACCACAACTAATGTATCCCTCCGTTACTGTAAGTACCATGCTATCAGATATCATTAACATATATACGTCACGTATGCCATTATTATCGCATAATTCATGAGAAGTCTATATATATAAGAAAATTTAAATTGAAAAAATGAATATAAAATACCAGTTAAGAAAATTATAAATAATAGGTAAAAATAATGAAATAAAAACATTTTACCCAAAAAAATCATACCAAGAATTCACCGAAGTCTAAAAGTAAAATAGTAATTCAAAAACATTTATAAATATTTAAAACTTTTAATAATATTTAGAGGAAGATTAACATTAAATTAAAAAAGTTTAAATAAAACCTATAAAAGAAAAATAATAAATAGTTACAAGAAAATAAAAAATACTGAAAAGAAATTAATTTGCTTTTTCTGAAAGAAAAGAAATCTTACCTGCAAACCCTCGCATGGTTAGTCCTCTCATCTCTCTCAATTATACGTAAAACAATTGTAGACGTACTACTGCCTCGACTTGCAGTCGTAAACTTCTGATCCGCACTCGCAGCTGTAGAACTCTCCTCTCTTATAGATGATCCCCCCTTGCTAATAGCAGCTGGCATGTTTGCTCTAGACATCCATTTCAAGATGTGAACCATGATCTATAATTCCTTGACTTAAATTGCAATTTTAACATAAAGATATAACTTAAAAAAGGGATTTAATTATTATTATGTAAAAAATTGAGGCATTTTACCCAAATGCATATCCTCACCAGAAAAAGGTGCAAGCCTCACCCAAAGCAGGAAATCATGAGCCTCTGAGGAAATTGTTGGGTGCCTTTTGGTGAGGCACTCCTCAAGACGTACACTTTGAATCATAAGATGAGCACATTTTTGCTGACCGAAAGGAAAAAGGATAGTAATTATCCCTCCTAAGCTAATGAAGCCAGGAGAGGAAGTCTGAAAGGCCCACATCCATCCAGAGAACTTAAACAAGCAATGCTCATTGAAAAAAAGTGCTTCACAGAGATCTTTTTACATACACTCAAAATTTATCTGTAATTGCCATATAACCTTGTGGCGTCGCACTAGCTGATATGGTTGACTAGCCAAATCAATACTCATATCATTGAATCATCAGCTATTCGATTGAGGATTACTTTATTTTTAAGGATTAGGTAGAGAAAAGTTATCAAAATGTTGTGCTCATTCATTCTAGTAGTGTATTGATTCATCTTAAAATGGAGTAGGTCGATATTATCTCGGCTTACCTAATCCAAGATGCAAAAGCTGGTATGGAAAGGTTCTAGAAGGGGTAGGTGATTGATTCATTTCATTTCAAAGAAGCCGAATTGATGATTGACTTTCAGAAAAGCCAAATTGAGGATCAACCTTTTTTTAGGTATGTAGGGCGTCTCTTGGAGAAGTTCTTTGAAACCAAAATTTGACCCAGCGGTCTTCCTCAAAAGAGTCCTATTAAAAATCACTTGCTATATTTAATATAAAAGAAGAAGAATTTTGTCATGCATCTTTGTCAAAGCCTTGGAGGTAAAAAATGAATAGGTTGAGGAAGCCAAGAATTGAAATTCAGGAGCTCATGGACTTTGTTAATGACCATGAAGAATCTATTCAATTGCCAGTTGGGCTAGAAGAATATATTATCAATTTGTAGCTCAACTTAGAGCTAGGTGACACAATAGGCATTAATGACACTTGTCAAGTCACGAGCCTTTGTGACAAAGGATTTTAGGAGAATTCTCCAAAGTCTATCATTTCCTATTAGCCTAATTTAGTTCTCAAGAGGGGTTTTTTCAATTCTTTGCAGAATCATGCCATATATCATCATAATTCACATATGATGAGGAATTTTATATACCCGATGAGAAAGATAAAACCAGCCAAAAATTGTCTCTTCAAAATGAAATGTCCATGACTTCGGCAATAGCTGGGATTGGATGAATTCGAAGAACCGGCGAGTTCAAAGCCCTCTACCATTTATGCCAGGCCAGTAACACATTGAATGGAGTGGAAAGTAAAGTAAATCTTTTATACCATAACAACAGAAGAGAAAGATCATGGGAAACATCAAGATTAATGAAGATGTTCTGCCTCTGGCTCTTTATAAATTCTCGAAGACTGCAAATCTAGCTATGGACTACAATGTTTTGGCCCACCTTCGAAAGTTATCAACATTGCTAGGCATTTATGATGTGCTTATACGGCCTAAGGCATTCGTGATACAAATGAACAAAAATTTATTCTTTATTGCTCATCAAGTAACACTAGACACTTAGTACCATTTTCTTAAAATGCCAATATAAATATAATAAAATCAAATTTTAACATCTGATCTTTTTGTGCTGCATAAACTTCTTTATTTTACATCTATATTTTTATTAAATATGTTTTTAAAGTCATAGTATGAAAGACAGTAGGCATAAAAAAGTGAAACATGTGACTGACATCAAATAAATCATCATCAACTCCACAATTTATAGAGCACATCATAATCCCAAAAGAGAGAACATGTATAGAGTTCATCAAATGTGCCTTTTTACTTCCCTATAACCTTTAGTTGCACTGCCTGAAATTTAAGAAAATTCTGATTAGACTGTTTTTTTAGCCATATTAAATGTTATCTTGTGTCTATTGTTTAGAATGATTGTGAAATAGATGGGAATATTATTAGTAGAATTCAAGCTGGATGGTTTAAGTGGAGGAAGGCATTGGGCTTGTTGTGTGATAGAAAAGTCTCCTTCAAACTTGAGGGAAAATTCTATAAGATGGCGGTGAGACCTAAATGCTTTATGGTGTGGAATGTTGGCCATTAAAAGAGAAACATATTATTAAGTTGAGTTTTGTAGACATGAGGATGCTAAGGTGGATGAGTGGCTTTACTCTTAGAGATAGGATACGAAACGAGCATATTCGTGAAAGGTTGGAGTAGCTCTAGTTGAAGATAAAACTAGAGGGAGTCGCCTTAGATGGTCTGGTCACATGAAACGGCAGCCTTCCGATGACCCGGTTAGGAGAGTAGATGTATTAGATTTAGCTTATGTTAAGAAAGGTAGAGTTAGAACTAAAAATATTTAGTTGGAAAATATTAGAAATGACATTTCTTTATTAAATTTAAATGAGAATTTGATACTTAACATGACATAATATATAAAAAGGATTCATGTAGATGACCCCACGTAGTGGAATAAATGCTTGATGTTTTTGTTGTATTTAATGTTTTTGACCCGTGAAGTGGGATGATACATGAAAACTCTTGTAATGGTTGCAAATTTGGCTTATAAATTCAATGTCTTATATGCTATTATTTTTGCAGCAAAATTACATTTGTATGGCCGCATGGGAAAAGAGTTAAAAATAAAATAAAAAAAGACAATCGAAACGAGCAATTTTCTTGATATTCAGAAGGATTTGCGTTGCCAGCAGCCAAAGTGCATACTTTCTGCTATTTTTGGGTTGTGCAGCTTATTTTCTTGGACTTTCTTGAAACACTACTCCAAACATAGTTTTATAATATGAGTAATGCTTCACTCAAATACATTTATATTTACAATAGAATTTTGTTTGCGTTCATAATTTTTGTGGTTCAAGTGAAAATAGCCCCTGTAACTACATTCCGTCTAGACAGAAGAATTTATTTTTAATATGGATATATTGGTGAATGGGGTGTTACTCGTATATTCTTATGTCTTAAAAATCTCTTCTGAGCTGCAGTTCCAAATTGCACGGTTGTGCTTCTGTTTTTGGTGTTTTGTTTTTTCCCATCCAAAGTTTTTAACTTCATGTTGGTTCCAATGGCTTCTGTTCTTTGAATGTAAAAGTCAATTTATATGGACTTTAAGGCTATGGAGAGCTTGTAAGTAAGTTGATTGCAAACAATCGTTTAATAACCCGTGTTTTTGAAATCTCCCATCTGCATTCCTATAATTTGAAATTCTTTAACGTTACAGATTTTTGGAGCATTGGAAGTACGACAATCAGCAGCCAAAGATGTAATTGCTGCAGCTGATTTAGAAAAACAGGAAAAGGAGGAAGTTGCTCTGAAAGCTCTAAAAGAGCAAGAATTATTGATGGATGCTGTACTTGCAGAGTCCCAGAATTTGAAGCAGGAAGAAGAGGAGAATTCTAAGGTAAATAACCTTAACATTTCATTTCGTGTATCACAAATTCTGCTCTGTTTGGCGTTATGATAATGGTTGCTGTGTGATTGATGCTTGCAGCTGAGAGAATTTTTGATGGATCGCGGCCATGTTGTCGATTCATTGCAGTAAGTTTTTCCATTAAACTGAGTTTTTTATTTCAGGAGCATGTAACAGTACTTCCAATGTATGATGAAAATCTTCACTTTAGCTATCTTTCCTGCTTTTTTAAAGCAGAAAACTTTGTTAATGTTTGCTTTTGCTATGCAGAGGTGAAATAGCCATTATTTGTGAAGATATTCTCTCACTTAAGCAAAGAGTTGACGGACGCATCCCTTTCACTAGATCTCTAATTTCATCATCTTTTACCAAATCTCTAATGTCATCATTTTCGTCGAGCTGTGGATCATCTGTAAACTCTTCTGAACATAATGGAGGATCACCATCATCAACAAACCGTCTTATTAACACGGAAACCCATGAAAAGCATCAGGAAGTAGAAAATACTTCTCTAAACTCACTCGACTCTCGCAGCAATCCTTTAGATGATTGGGAACTATGTGAAAAGTGAGATTTAATTCTCCTATACAGAATATTGCTACGCTATGATCGTTTGCTGCAATATTAATTAACTATTTTACATTTCTTTGAGCGGTGAAACTAATTGCATGGTTCATTTTCAGAAAAATTGTCCTTGTAAATATGTCGTCGTTTCAGAACAGTGAGCACTTAATAGTTCTTTTTAAGAGGCTTGAGAATAACGTACTAGCTACTTGGGAAGCTCTACTCCCAAAACATATTATCTTGTGCATATATTTAAAGAACCTTCTGAAATGTTCGTCTCTGTGGGTCATTCTTTCCAGATTTTTAGTGGCTTTGTTCTATTGCATGGGGGGCCCTGTTTTACCATTTTTATAGTGTGGTTGTTTTAATGACATTAATTTTTTTTTAAAGGAGCCATTGCATCTATATGCTTAGAGAGAGTTTCCTTAGATGTAGTTACATAAAATTTTGACCTTCTGATAATCCAGTTAGGAGAGTAGATGTATTAAATTTGGTTCATATTAAAGGAGGTGAAGATAGATCTAAAAAAATTATTTATAAAATATTAGACATGATTATTGTTTTAGGTTTAAAAGAAATTTAGACTCTTAACTGTATATAATGGATATAAATAAGATCTCCTGCAGTGGGATAAATGTTTGGTGTTGGTGTTGTTGGCCTTATATCTATGCTTGAAGATGTAATTGGCAAAACAAATAATCTGGATATCCTAACATGAGATATGTCAGAATAAAGATAAAAATTGTTAAATTTATCTTTAAGATTACAACAATAACATCATGCTTTTATCTCATTAGGTGGGGTTGGTTATATGAATCCTTTTTTTCTATTATGTCTTATCAAAAGTCAAATTCTCATTTAAATCTAATAAAGAAAGGTTATTCCTAATATTTTCTAATCAAATTTTTTTAGGTATGCTCTATCTTTTTTAACATGAGTCAAATCTAATACTTCTATTTTCCTAATTGGGTCATCAGAAGGCTGTCGTTTTATGTGACCAAATCATATAAGGCGACTCTCTTTAATCTTATCATTTATTGGAGCAATTCCAACCTTTTCATGTATATGCTCATTTCGTATCTAAGGGTAAAGCCACTCATCAACCTGAGCATCCTAATCTCTGCCACACTTAACTTAGTGTTATGCTTCTCTTTTAATGGCCAACATTCGGCAACATAAATCATTGCAGGCCTCACCACCATCTTATAGAATTTTCCTTTAAGTTTTGAGGGGGTACTTTTCTATTACACAACAAATCCGATGCATTCCTCCACTTCAATCATCCAACTTGAATTCTGCTAGTAATATTCTTATCTATATCACAATCACTCTGAACAATAGATACCACATATCTAAAACGTGTACTACTATTAATAATTTGATTGCCCAAAGCCCCAATCCCCTCACTAGGTCTATTACTACTAAAATTACACTCCATATATTATGTTTTAGATATACTCAAGAGAAAACATTTAAACTCTAAGGTTTACCTCCATAATTCAAGTTTACCTTCAACTCCATCTCTAATCTTATCAACAAGAAGAATATCATCAACAAAAAACATACACCAAGGTACATCCTCTTGCAAATGTCTAGTGAGAACATCCTTGACTAAAGCAGAAAGATATGGGCTTAAGGCTAATCCTTGATTTAATCCAATTGAAACAGGAAAATACTTGGTCAAACCACCTTGTATTTGAACACAAGTAATAACACATACATGCATACCTTTAATGATTTGAATATAAGCATTATTAACTCATTTCTTTTCAAGAACTCTTCATAGCACTTATTTTGGAACTTTATCATATGCTTTTTCTAAATCAATAAATATCATATGAAGATCCTCCTTATTTTCTCTATATTTATCTATCAAACCTCTTAATTAATGTATGGCTTCCATAGTCGACCTACCCAGCATGAATCCAAATTGATTTTGAGAAACATTAGTATCACGCCACAACCTATGCTCTATAATTTGCTCCCATAGTTTTAAAGTATGACACATTAAGTCTTCTATAATTCACAAAATATTGTGCATCACCTAAATTTATCTTTAAGACTATTGCATAAAAAACTTTTATAACTTAATTTTAAAATAAATATAATAAATTTTTGAGCTCATAATGAGAAGCAATTTGTTCTTGCATAGAGGTTTTCGTGAGTGGTATATACGGTCGCCCTTTAAGTAAATGTTGGATTTTGTGCCGGCGTCCTTTGGCATTGCATCCTGCTTTAGAAAAAAAGTTGCCCAAAGAAAATGATCTTCTGGCGTAGAAATTTGTAAAATAATTATGCTTTTTTATTGAAAAAATTAGAAAAAAATTTTACATATTGCCAGTAACTTGGCATGTCCGCAGTCAGTCGTCTGTTTAACTAAGAAGTTATTCTGTGTGGAGTTCAAATATAAATTTATGTTCAAATTATGAGTATGCATTATATATATATACAAACACACCATGTACACTTATATGTCCTAATGCAACTTTGCGTCATGACTCAACATAGAATAATTTTTCATGTGAATCAGTCACTCGTTGCACGAGTAACTAGTTCTGATTTTTTGTTTTTGTTTTATGATGCGAGAATGAAGCACTTGTTGGGATGTTTAAGAGTAGCCCTTTTGTGGAGCATCCTGAGCAGCTCGAGTTCCCTCATGCACCTACTTACCATCCATTTGTTTGGCAGACTAGAGAGAAATGATGCTAAGATGATGATGAGAAGGAAGAAGATCCTGATTCAAAGGGTTAGGGTTTTTTTTTTTTTTCTCTTTTGCTTTTGCTTGAGAAAAGATAGCCAATGTAAAACTTGTCAAATAATCATGACATGAATCCAAAAAATGCTTTTGCCTTAGATGAGGGAGAGAGAGTTTGGAGGCTTCTATTTGTTGGGAAGCATGTTTATTTTGATATGTTGTAGTGGATAGTCTAACTGAAGACTTAAAACTTAGCACTTATGGGAGACAACTCACTTGATATGTTATGCATGGTGCTTAGTGCACCAGTTATCCTATAATCAATGTTATGTTATGTTATGTTTTGTAATGTTCTATTAACTCTTATTTTATGCACCTTTTATCATTTATATTAAAGCATGTGTATTGTTAACTGTTATTTGTGTTTGTTGTATTTTCATTTCATTGAAGTTCTCCTCATATTTGATATAATTTTAAATTTTGATTATTTAATTAATCTTTGTAAAAAAGATAATTAAAAATTATATAAAATTAGGATAATAATAAAATCCCAGATCATAGTTCAAATAAACACTATTTATATTTCATAGAGTGAAAAAGAAACTAATAATTGTCTGACTTAGATCATTTAAGTTATTACTTTAATTTGAAATTATAAGTTATACCTTTATTTATTAATTTTTGAAATAAAGATGAATAATTAGAATTAAAAATTTGATATTAGACTGAAAAAGAAACAAATTGTAAAGAAGGGCAAGAAGAAGTTTAAAAGAGCTTTTTGGACGGACTCAGCTTCTCAAATAAACACTATTTATATTTCATAGAGTGAAAAAGAAACTAATAATTGTCTGACTTAGATCATTTAAGTTATTACTTTAATTTGAAATTATAAGTTATACCTTTATTTATTAATTTTTGAAATAAAGATGAATAATTAGAATTAAAAATTTGATATGAGTATATTAAAATTAGAAATTATAAGCAATTAAAATTTGGAAATGACAATCTTATAAAATCCTTACATTAAACTTATTAAGATTGTAAAAATGCTTCGAAGCAAAAAATGATATTCAAAATCATTAACTATGTACTCCATAAATTGAAAAGAAAAAAAGAACTATGAAAATAGCTCTAAAAAGAGAAAGATAGAAATTGAAGAAAAAGAAAGAAGATGTTTATATTCAAAAATTGATATCAATTAAAAGCTTAGAATATGATTGCAATCTTGTACTTTCAAAAAAGATAAAATAAGAAAACCAATAAAAATTATGCACAACAGGAAAATCATCTATTAATGGCGGAATTTTTCGGTGGAAATTGATCATTTTTCGGTGATTTTTTAATTTATCGGTGGTTTTCCGATGAAAAAAATTTCACCGGTAAAACTCGCGTAGGAAAATAAATTCCGGCGGAATAAAACTGCCAGTAAATTAAAAAAAAATAAAAAAAATTCTCATTTTACACCCAACAGCCACTCCCGCACCACCCCCCTCCCACGCCCACTCATGGGAGCTCGCTAGCCTGCCAGAAACTAGTTGTGCAGCGGCCTCCAGCCCACGCACGGGAGCCCGCCAGTATGCCCGTAACCCATTATGCAGCGTCCGCCAACCCGCGTGGGGGAGCCTTCCTGCCAGCCTGCATGTGTGCGCCTGCTCCCGCGCCTACCAGGTGATTCAAACCCGAGTGGGTTGGGGAAAATCTCAAACAATCAACCAAATTGCTGGACATGCAAATACATTTTTATTGTCAAAATTTTATATTTAAACTATATGTTGACCCAAAATCAAGTAATATTTAATTATACTAATAAAAATGATACTAATTAATTTAATTATAAAAATAAAGAATACTAATTAATAATAAAAAAAATTAATATTTACTAATTAATTTTAAAATGAAAATTAATTAAATAGTTAATATAATTTTTAATCATTTTTGTTAAATCATTTAAATAGTTAAAATTTTAATCATTTTAATTAAATTTTCAAATTTCTACTGGAAAATTGAAAAAGCCATCATAAAATCCGCCAGAAAATTCAGTGGGAAAAAACCATTGGAAAATTTTATTAGAAAAGTTGTCTCATTATTTTCTATCAGAAAGCTGTCGGAAAATTAACCTCAAGAAAGTCGCTGGAAAATTATGTCGGAAATGGGTGATTTTCCTGTAGTGATGGTGAACTAATGATATTTCAATTTTATTTTTAAACATATTTAATAATTAAACTATATTATTTACTTTTGGAAGTGCAACCTGACAATTCACGGGAGGTTGTAAGACCTCATTGAATTGCCCTAGACACATTAAGAGGAGGGGAGGAGCTGAGTAGGTTATTTTAAAAAATAATTTTAATAACTTAAATTAAACAATTTGATCACCCGATGCAAAAGCTGAAAAATTTAATAATAACTGAAATAATGGCGATGATAAATTAATCAAATCAATATAATTTTTTCAACATGTAATTTTTAGGAGAATAAATCACAAAAAGTAAAATACAAAAAATAAAAATTAGAATGAGCACACCAAAATTTTATAATAGTTTGGTCAAATAATGACTTACGTCCACTCCTTGGAGCCCTCCTCTC